CGTTGTGTCTCTGTGTGTGTGTGTGCGTGTGTTGTGTGTGTGTGTGCGTGTGTTGTGTGTGTGTGCGTTGTGTCTGAGTGTGTGTGTGCGTGTGTTGTGTGTGTGCGTTGTGTCTGTGTGTGTGTCTCTGTATGTGTGTGTGAGTGCGTGTGCGTGTGTGTGTGTGTGTGTGTGTGTGTGTGTGTGTGTGTGTTCACGCGAGTTGTGTCTGACGTGTGTGATTTAGAGGTCAGTCTGAGTGTGCATGTCTGTTTGGCCATGTGTATGTATATGAGTGTGTGTGCACATGCATGTGTCATGTAGGTGTTTTTGGTACATGTATAGTTGTTCGACCTCCGTTTAAAATTCGCACCTCTAACGCTTGCATCACTAAACATCGCATCCATGCAGCGAATAATCAAAGAAATTAAAAGGAGGCTTGCCATTTGAATTGTTATTATGGTATAGCTGTTAAATTATATGCTATTCTTAAATTTTACTACTTTAATGCATATTATATCTTGACCAATAGTGATGTCTGAAAACAATCCAATTCTTTGTGGTCCTCAGAATTTAGAGAGACGCAGTCCTCGTCTGGTGCTCTGTCGCCCCTTGAAGGGCTCATGGGTTTTTGAGGACGTTCCCTACTTTTGCCAAGAGGTAAGAAGATTTCAGAGAAAAGTCTTGCCTGAATTTTTTTAAAGCTGAAATTTCATCAACAATTCTGGTTGAATAATCACTGAGGCTGGAGAGTGAGGAACGGAACTGATCGTAGAGGGAGACAGTGACATTTAAATTGTAAATAAGCCGTTCTTGAAAAATTGAGAAGAATTCAATTCAAGTTCAGTTTTGAAAATTAAAAAAAGGGGAGGGGGCTGGGGGCTAAATAGTTTGGGAGGTAAAAATTTGAAAGTTGTTTGGCTTAATGTGTTTGTTTAGTTGGTGGCTGGTTGATCGATTTGGGTTGGTTGTTGTTGTTTTTTTTAAATTTTTATTTGTTTTGATTTGGTTTTGTTGGGGTGGTGGTGAGGGGGGGGGGTCTATTTCAACAGACATACGTTTCATAATTGTTTAAAGACTGAATTTCTAGCCTTTATCACTGATTGCAAGTATTAGATCCCAAAGTGAGACTGAAATCTGATTGTTTAACCATTCATTTGACGACTACTTTTTGAAGTTTTCCATTTACACCACGTTTTGAAACCATTTGCTACGACAACGGCCCTTTGATTTTTACTCCTCAGGACCTTTGTGAAACGGACATCTTTATTTTGGATACTCATGATCAAGTACGGTGTACTATAATTTATTTCGCTCATTTTTCAACACATTGCTTTATTTTCCTTTTACTGCTGTATTTGCTTCCAGTTTGTTCAACTTATTAAAATTCTTTTTTGGAGATAT